ACTCCCTAGGGCGACCGAACACCAATGCTCTAGGCATGCATAATACATTTCCAATCCCTACTATGAAAAAAAAAGGCTGAGATTAATTCGACAACAAAGACATGCAGCTAGTATGGAAAGTAGGGACACTTCTCCAAGGTACGTATACCAAAAAAAAAAAAAACTTTTTCAATAACTCGTTCAGAACTTAGTGAAATAAGTTCTGAACGAGTTATTGAAAAAGTATGACTGTGACACATAGTTTCATAAAGCATTCTTTGATTTAGTGTTTTTTTGAAGGTCCGAATGAATACCTTCTTCCCATTGTTGTGTTTCTGGGTTTCACGATTCTGTAGCAAGAGAAATAGTTTGCCATATTATATAATAGCTCTGTTCCAACCGACATGAGAACCGTTCTATAACCAGTAATTTCCAGTTGCTCACCTATATTTTAATAAGCTAAAAGTTTATCCTACTTGTTAAATAAATTGATCGACTGGAAATTACCATTCTAGAACGGTTCTCATGTCGGTTGGAACAGAGCTATTATATAATATGGCAAACTATTTCTCTTGCCACAGAATCGTGAAACCCAGAAACACAACAATGGGAAGAAGGTATTTAATCTGTTCTTTATTGTGTACGATCCTCTAGTCGAAAAAGTGGGCCTGCTAGTGGCAAATATAATTATGGCCTATTTCGGCATTCGGTGGCAAAGAACCTAGCCCCATGTGGAGGTCCCTTTTAGAACAACAATCTGCCGAATACAAGAATGAACTGGAACTTTGTCAAAAGTTAGCTTAAACCACAGACATTGGAAGCTTCCATTATTTAGATACATCGAACATACTGTCAAATCACTACTACCTCGAATACATCCGGATGAAAAATGTTCCGAGTCATAGTCTTTATGCGACCGCAGTAATTTTTGATCGGTGGTCTGGATAAGCCCGCATAGCGACTGAATAACCATCAAGGATCAAGGATGGATGTAGAAGACAAACCTAATCGTAGGAAAGAACGAGAACGTCTGATACAAGTTGATCATGAAGACATATTCAGAACATATTTTAACTTTAACTCTTTTCTCTCTGTATATAGTCTCGAAACCGTGCTTCACTTTGGGTCAAGACATTCATGCGCCTCGTAGACTAATAATCTTAGGCTTCCAATGCCTCATTCTACCCTGGTTTTACGTTCTTTTATTTACAGAGGGGTAAAGTTCTAAAATCATCTGCCATTAGAGGTGAAAGCCAAGCCTATTTTAGGAAAGGTTATATTATGGTTTTCGCTGGGTGTGCCATCGACGTGGGAGAAATCTGGGTCTAGACTATTACGCTAGCAGAGAGATCAGAGTAATTGTTGCTATCCACAGAAATAATACTCGTCGTGAATTTCTATGATGTGATGAGAACTATGGAGGCACGTGAGTTAGACAAACATATGCAAAATGGCGCATGGCAAATTTGTTCGATGCTAACAGACAATAGCTATTTTTCTAACAAGTACCTAATATATTTTCAATTATTCTGTCAACATTTTCTAAAATGAATATGTTTCTCCATATTATGTTTCATATCAAATCTCTTTACAGAAATCAAAAGAAAATTTGACAAAAAGCGGAAAGGAGATTATTCTATTTTTATTCTCATCTTTTGATGTTTCGCATTTTTCTATATGTGAGCCAAAATAATTTTGCAATCGCCTCTTCGCCTACTCGCGGGGATATTTCAAATACATGAAGAGTCGTAGAAAGAGGGTGACTAGAAAAACATTCTATGTTGGAGTAAAGTAAGACTGTTCTGAACTCTTTCTTATCCTTTGACGGTTGGGAAGCAAATTAAATAAAGTTATTCGAACACATTGAAACGCATTAATTAGGTGAAAGACAATTTATCCAAATTTGATCTAAGGCAAACTATATTTTATCAAATTCAACTGATTGGAAAATAATTTATCAATAAATGTAGTTATATCTATGTTTTTATTCCAATTTTTATGTGTAAATGTATATAAACCAGGATAAAATTAATTATTTTTTATAATTTTTACTTTCAATAAAATATACTTACAGTCGATAAACTGTAATTTAACAAACTTCAATAAAATGGATTTTATATAAATTTTGTTTCGATTAAATAATTTTAAACAATAATTTTGTGAACTGTGTTCGAATAATTTACTGTCGACCATTCTCAGCCGTTAGTTCAGAGAAAGAGAAGTTTGAAATTTGTTTAGACTCTTAAGTATCGTTATATACCTATATTTATCAGGATTTCACCTTATTATATTCACGCAATTAATCCAATTTAAATTTTCTTTAAATTTTGCAACAGTTTTATGCGGGGTAATTTTAATGAGGCACTATTTTGTCGGTAAAATAAATTTTAATTAAAAATGTAAGACTTTTAGCTCGGATAATTACTTTGCATAATTACGAGTTAAAAAAAAAAGGAATTATTAAACGTAAACAACATCGATATGAAATTTCATTATAGGAACAATTTATTTTTAAATTTTTATCTTTAAATTAATACGGAGTCATCGCACGCCGTTGTTGGCGACGATATTGGATACTAATCACTTTGAAACTGATATATTCCACAAATTAAATTATTTACCAAGTATCCACCTGAAGAAGATACTGTATGTTGTGATAAAAAAATAATTTGTGAAAATTTATTAAGATTTTCTCAAAAAATATATATTATTGTTAAAAATACACTTACCGTCTGGAAGAGCTCCCAGAGACCACATAAAATCTAGAAAAACGAAAATAACCATTAGTTTATAGAAAATTAAACCCATTGAAATTAAAAAAACATTTAGATACGAGAAAAAAAAAATCAAAAGAAAAAAGACTATTTGTTAACTAAGAAATTGAAAATTATAATATAGCATCCATGAAATTTCAACTACGTGTCTAAAATCTACTCTCAAGATTGGTAAATTTCGCGAAAGCGTTTCTAGAAAGAAATTAACTGGGTTAGCTATAAAACTTTTGTTAAAATGTTTGTCGTTGATCTCTGCATTACATTCGACTAAGCTACGATGACTAAACTCAGCTAGTAGCTACTCTAATATATTTGTTATTTTTTTTTTCCAAAAATGTTACGCATTTTTCTATTACACGTACATTTTAAGGCAAGTGATACTCTATTCCTAATAAATAACAAAATCAAAATAGATTTTAATAAATATATATGTTATATCGTTGTGTCTTCGGAAAAATATTCAAATTAATCCAAGCTAAATATTTTTTACTATAACGAAGAATATGCACATTGAAACACACATAAAAAATTTACGTTACCTTTTTTTTGTAAATCTATGATTATAATGTATCTAACTATAATAGACTAAGCAGAAGTACAGTAATAGTTAATTAGATAGTTAAGTTTATCTTTATTGCTATTAAAATTTAACTATGAGTAGGTAAATTTAAAATATTTTTTTCCAAATTAATTATTCAATACTACCTTATTGAGGCGAAAACATAATTTTGTAATATGTATATTAGATACCTACAGTATTTCCTTGTATAATGTATAAATTTTTGAATACCCTTCTAACAAATTGTAAAACGCCCAGAAAGCTTTTATCTGGGTATTATGATAAGCAAATCTATTAATTTCGGAAAAAGCCAGCTCTTCGAGTACAGCAATGTTTTTTAAAAGGCTGATTAGATAGAAGATCCCAGATTGATAACTTGAAATAAATAATTTAGAGATGTACCTAAGCTTTGAAAGTATAATTGAGTTGGATTCTGGAAAATTTTCACCTAATGGTCAAAATTTTAGTAGAAATAAACTAAGCCCCAATAAGGTAACATCTAGCGTTAGCAAAATTAACAAAAAATCTTCTCCTAGCGATATTAATACAACTAATTTGTCATTGGTAACAATAATATCATGAATTTAAAACTATTCTAAACTATTTTACTATACAAAAGATTAGGTTAGGTCGCACCTTTGTAGGGCTATGGCATTACATAGATGAGACCAGGACGAACTCCCCAAAAGGACCAGGGAACATATGCGCCAGGACCTGAAAAGGATGAACTACTGCCCCGACTTTTTTTATGTTAATTTTTTTGTTGGCTATACAAAATTTGAGACCTAACTAAGCCTAGTAGAAGACATTACAAACAGTACGTTAAAGGTAAGTCAAGCAAAAATTAAATTAAATATTTTTTCAAATAGTTGTTGGCAAAATTTTTGCTTGATTTGTACACATGACAGCTCATTCTAGACACGATAATATGAAATTTCATGAATATAATTTTGACGTCAAATTATGTTAAGCTGCAGTGTAATCGTGATGATGATTTAAGACCGGGTTGGCTTCGCGAGTTTTTGCTACTACTTTTTTCTACTGGGGTAATAAAAAACTACTTTTTGTGTAAAAATAGATATGTTTTTGGCTTGGTTTAGATTTTCCAAAATATTCACCCAGAATGCAAGCAACGAACAGCTGAAACTGGCTACGGTAGTGCCTGATGTTCTACAGAGTTGGTAAATGCTTTTCATTATTCCTTTTCTACATTTAGGTTAACTAGAATGAAGCTGAGCTTAATAATTTTAATAATTGTACTATTTCAATATATTTACTGGATGAATATATCTAACCGAAATATAATTATTCTTTTTATCTATATTTTCTACTTTATGCTAGCCTATGGAGTCTATTTTCCCCTACATCCAGTCTTTCGTTGTACTGTTACTTTTTATATTATTGACTTGAAAAAAAAATCCTTATTAAAAGAGTTAAATAAATGTAAGGATTCTCCGAAAAATGATATGCAATGAAAGTTCCCTGATATCTTTGAATTGAAGAATTATTAAATAAAAGAAATATAGCAAGTAAAATAGGCCTACAGAAAAATATTTAGAGAGGAGTAGTATAAACCGTAGAAATATCCAACCCTTGAACGCCCAATAGATCGCTCATGCTATATGTAAGAGTGGGTGGACCACGTGCAACTGGTCTAAGAGTAGGCGCAGTAGCGAAAACTCGCTTACACCCGGTCACATCGTAGAGCGTGTGTGTCGCGTAGTGCAGAGGCGTAGTCGCCGGAGCTACGGCTATAGCCGCCAACGGCAATGTTGCCGATGGCGCGTGGTGAACCGTAGCAGCGGGCAACGTTGCCACACCATGCGGCAAAGGATACGGGGCGTAGCGGAGTGCGGATACGGCAGATGTGGCGGCAGCCGCGGCTGCTGCCGCCGGATTCAGCACGAGCAACTCACCGTAAGCGCCACGACCGGCGGCACGTGTCTTGGCGAGGTTGGCCGGCAACATCACCTCTTTTGGTTGTGCTTTCTTGCATTCGACCTGAAAAGAATTTAACGGAATTAATTTAGAGTAATTTTGCCTTACATATTAGCTTACAATAAAATCAAAAAGTCGCATATTCAGGCATGGCATTCGCATAAATATGAACTAGCCATTTTCTTATATGCGATAAAAAAAATTCAACTAACGGAAGCCCCACCTCCAAACTCACGATAATATTCTGTCGTTATTCGAAAGAAATAACATTTATTTGTGGGATAAGATATTAGTTTATTGTAGAATTAGATGTATTTTAGAGTAATTATTAGTGTTCTTAGGGAAAACAGCAAAGTACAGTGGATTAGTGTTATCGAACATACTCCAGAGCGCGATCGTTAGTGTTATCGAACATACTCCAAAGTGCGATCGTTTGACAGCGGAGGGAAAAATGACATAACGACGAGCGCGTGGGGGCAGGACAGTCGAGCCAAGAAGATGAGCGAAAAAGGGGGACGCGAAACTCGCGAAAAAGGCGCGCGCCGCGACATCCTAGAAAAGGCAAAAAACGAAGAATGACAATAAAAAACCCGTAAAGACGTAAAGTACAGTACAGTGTCCTAAGACCTAGCTTTTCGGACTATGCAAGTCCGATAGTGCTCGTTAAAAAAAAAAAAAAGATAGCAGGACTGGAATTTGCTGCAATTACCGGAAAATTAATCAGGAAATCGTAAAGAACAGATTTCCACTTCCTTTAATCGAAGACGTATTGGACCGACTGCAGGGAGCAACATTCTTTAGTACTATTGATTTGAAAAATGGGTTTTTTCATGTTGATGTGTACGAAGAAAGTGTGAAATAAACATCGTTCGTTACACCAAGTGGACAATTTGAATTTTTGGAAATGCCCCTTCGGCCTTTGTAACAGCCCAGCAGTGTTCCAGAGGCCCACTGAATACTCATCACATAGATCACTTAGGACCGTTACCTTCGACAAACAAAAATTACTAACACATTTTAACCGCGGTTGATGATTTCACAAAATTTGTGTGGTTATATGCCACAAAGTTTTGTAACAGCCCAGCAGTGTTCCAGAGGTATATTACTCATATTTTCAGAGATTTGTGTTTGGCAAATACTGCACTATATTACATGGACGATGTGATCATTCTAACTTCAACTGAAGAAGAAGGTATGGAGCATTTGCAGAGAGTTTTAGAAGTTGCAAGTTCATTTGGGTTAGAGATTAAAAAAGAAAAGTGCCATTTTCTAGAAAGACGAGTAGATTTGCTAGGATTCATCATAGAAGATGGTAAAGTATGTACAACCATCTGAGGAGAAAACGCGGGCTATCAAAAAATTTGCAGAACCTAAACATTTCAAACAAGTGCAATCGTTTCTTGGACTAACGGGATATTATCGGAAATTTATTCCGTCATACGCACTTATAGTAAATACTGTATTCCTTTTACCTGTCGAGTTACTCGGAGCTCAATGTCAAAAGTTTGAACGTTCCTTTTAATAGTGTATCAAGCACTCGAGTCGCTCATAGTGCATTCCCCTTTCCCCTGGTGCACTGAATTTGCGGGGGGGTGAAAAAGCCCTTTTCGGTAATGTTAATATTAAATAATAATGATAATATCTGAATTGTGTGTTTTGGAGTGACTCCGAGGAGCTCTAGAGCCACACGTTCGGTGTAACTCGATGTATAAAAGAAATACAGTAAATGCCGTTGAGCGATTTGCTCAAAAAGGATACTAGATTTATGTTTAGGGTTGAGCAAAGACAAGCCTTTGAAAAGCTAAAAATGTTACTGACCAGTGAAACAGTAATACATCTTTATCGACAAGACGCAGAAACCCAGTTACACACTGATGCCAGTAAGCATGGGTACTGTGCATGCTTAATGCAGTAATGCTATGATGATAACAAATTCCATCCAGTGTATTACATGAGAAAGAAAACATTGCCTGCCGAAGAACGATATAGCAGCTATGAACTCGAAGTATTAGCCGTAATTCAAGCCGTCAAAAAATTTAGAATTTACTTACTGGGAATAAAATTCGAAATAATCACAGATTGTTCCGCTTCCCAAAAAAACACGAATAAAAGGGATTTAACGACTCGTGTTGCTAGATGGGCAATATTAGCTATTTTCGGGTTCGAAAAAATGACGGTTCTAGAACGGTTCAAAACAATCGCCCAGTTTATTATTGAAATTTGTGATAGCTGAGCCGTTGTCTTTTTGTTGATTAATGAACTGTGCGATTGTTTTGGACCGTTCTAGAACCGTCCTTTTTTTGAACCCGAAAATAGCTATTGATAGAGGAGTAGGTACTCATATGAAATAGAGCATAGAAGCGGCAGCCGGATGAGTCAGGTGGACACATTAAGCAGATACCCAGTTGTTATGATTATGAATCAATTAACAAGTCAAGAAGATGGGGTTATACATAGACTGAAACTAGCTCAAGAACAAGATGAACATGTGAAGGTTATAAGAAAAATAACGAGCACGGAAAACTATGAAGGCTTTGCGTTGAAAAATAATATACTTTATAAATACAGTAATGGATTGTGGTCCCTAAACCAATGCAGACAGAAATAATAAGAAGAGCACACGAAATAGGACATTTTGCCGGTCAAAAGACAGAAGAGGTTATCAAAAAAGAGTTTTATATACCAAAATTGACAGAAAAAGTTCAGAATTACATTAGGAGTTGTGTTGCATATATTTTAGGAAACAAAGACAACTATTACCCAAAAATGAAGGCCCACTGAATACTCATCACATAGATCACTTAGGACCGTTACCTTCGACAAACAAAAATTACCAACACATTTTAACCGCGGTTGATGATTTCACAAAATTTGTGTGGTTATATGCCACAAAGTCTACAAAATCTAGAGAGACAATAGAAAAACTGCAGCTGCAGCAAAAGACCTTTGGAAATTCAAGTAGAATTATATCGGGTAAGGGTACTGCATTCACAGCCAAATAAATTCAGGAATATTGCGAGGAGGAAGAAATTCAGCACGTAACTATCACCACCGGAGTACCAAGGGGAAACGATCAAGTAGAAAGAATTAATTGAATCATCATTCCAGTTCTTACTAAACTAAGTATGGAAGTTCCGAACAAATGGTTCAATCAATTGGACAGAGTCCAGCGAGCACTAAATTCTACCTTGCAACGAACTATAGATGCAACACCTTTCGAGGTATTAATTGAAGTTAAAATGAAAACAGAAGAAGACGTACAAATAAAGGAATTATTAGAAAAGGAATCGATAGATGTGTTCACCTAAAATAGAGAAGAATTGAGAAATGACTGTAAAAGACAAATCTTGAAAGTGCAAGAAGAAAACAAAAACCAATATTACTTAAGAAGAAGGATGCCGAGGAGATATGAAATTGGAGAATTGGCAATGAAAAGAACCCAATTTGGAGGAGGATTAAAATTGTGTAAACATTTTTTGGGTCCATACGAAATCGCCAAAGTGAAGCCAAACGAACATTACGAAGTGGTGAAAGTCGGGAATCGTGAAGGGCCGCGAGTAACTTCTAGTTCTGCCGAGTTTATGAAACCATGGGTAATGAATGTTAGCGCATCCGAGTCGGATTGCCAGTCAGGACGGCCGAGTGTGGGATTAGATATCAGTTTAGTGTAGAATTAGATGTATTTTAGACTAATTTATTAGTGTTCTTAGTGAAAACAGCATAGTACAATCTACTAATGTTATCGAACATACTCCAGAGCGTGATCGTTAGTGTTATCGAACATACTCCAGAGCGCGATCGTTTGACAGCGGAGGGAAAAATGACAGAACGACGAGCGCGTGGGGGCAGGGCAGTCGAGCCAAGACGATGAGCAAAGAAGGGGGATGCAAAAGAGACGCGCGCCGCGACACCTTCAAAAAAAGGGCGAAAAACGACGAATGACGATAAAAAACTCTAAAGACGTAAAGTACAGTATCGTGTGTGTAATGTGGTACCGGGAAGAAAGCTGTGTTATCCGGGCTATTAATTTATAGACGTTTAAAGCCGTGGGTTTCATAACCCAAACGACGCCATTTGCTTTGCCGACAAAGTACCCCTCTATTTTATAACATAACGTTACGTGACGTGGTTCTGTGGCTGTTGTAGAAGATCGCTGTACAAGCAAATTTACTTTTTAAGCTGTGCTATATTCCCACATGTGTTTTTCCACTCATTAACTACCTATTTTTATTACACCTTATTATTATTCAACAGTGCATCAAAGTGGTTTTATTTGGTGCACAACCCCCAAAATACCCCTAGACAACGAATATAAAAACCTACATGTATAATATTACTGAAATTTGCGATTTTAACAATCCATTTCACATTGAAATACATCAAAACGATAAGATAAACGTCAAGTACCTCTAGGGTACTATATTAAACTTAATAAAATGCGATCTCGGCTCTAAGTTTTAACAATTTCAATGGACAATTAAACTTCCAAAGCCGCTCAAAAGGAACTTTATCAGCTCCTGAAAGCGAGCAAGTCGAGAGAGCGCCATAATGCCGGCTCCTTGGCTTGGGCCTTCTTCTTGTTCCTATTGCGCTTCCTTTTTGACCCAAATTGCTTTCGACAGAAAAGAATTTCGGGCGATTTTGTCGCCCCCTTAATTGGACTTGTTTAATTGTGTAGGATGCACTACAAAATGGCCCTCTTATAAATCTCTTGCCTCGTAAAATGTTCTTGAAAAATTCAATTGTCGCGAAGATTTAGGTCTCCTGATGCAAGGAGGATTTCAAATGGGTAAACTGAATAACAATTATTTATTGTTAGATGATGATGAGATTGAGTAATAATAAGAAAATTTAGTTTTAATAAAGATACCTATTTGAATAATTCAAATACAGCCATTTTAACACTGTAAAATGTTAATGTTACCTGAAATATTTCGAAATCGATAAACCTAGCAATTCAACTGCTCCAGAGATAACTAAGTTAAAACTAACGGCCAGCGCATCCCAGCTTTAATAAACTAAGAAGAAAATGCATTTAAAGTTCGTAATCCGGCTCTATATCCTTGTTTATTATTTTAATGAAGCATCATTTTGTATGACTCTCATTTGGGTTTCTGCTAAAAGTTTATTGTAGAGTGGTGGCGAAATTTCTTCCA